TAGTCCTGGGTATTTTATTGCAGAACAGAACAGAAACTGAACTCAGTGTCATTGTTTGCTGATTTTTCTATTATTTGCTAATGAATACTTTTCTATCTGACATGTTTCAAATAGTCTGTGTGCATATACCTGAGAAAAACATCTCTAGGCTTTATTTTTCTTTTCTTTTTAAAATGGACATAAACCAGACCTCAGTGATGTTTTCTAGTTCAAAAACTATTCACATTTCTAGTCTGGTCTCAATTCTGGAAAACAAAGCCAATGGCAGTATACAAGCCTTCTGAGTTTGTCGTCAGTCTTCAAGGGGCCTTCTGTTAACTGTGTCATTATAATTTAACATTGGCTATGAAAATGAACTTGCTGAAGAGTTCCTACTGTTACTTTTAGGGTTCTAACATGACAAAAATGATGGCAGCTTCTGGGATTCGCTGTGCTCATCCCCACAAATTAGCCTCATTGTTATTGAAAGTCAGAAAGGAAAAGGAAATGTGAAGTCCTATTAATAGAGCAGAAATAAAAATAAAGATGAGCCCAATAATTTTAATATACTTCAGCTAGAGTTTTTTTTAGATCTCTGCCTCTTTAAATTTTTTCCTACCTAGTTTTCTCCTTGATCTTTCATCTATAGATCGTCTCCATTATCTGCATGAAATAGTCAGTACAATGAGGGAAGTTGCTATACCAGTATCTGCACAAAATAAATGTCAGAGAAAGATCTACAGCTGAACAACAGGTTTCATACCAAACACAGCCAGGCACTTAGGCATTCATGTCTATTATTCCATTAAATTCACATTCCATCACAAAATAGACATTTTTATCTTCATTGCATCCCAAGGTATGTGGGATGTTTGCAAAGCTTAGCACTTTAGTACTTTGAATGTAATTTAAAACCAAAGATGACCCCCAGCATTTTCTTGAAGCTCTTTCTTTGATATTTACTTCTTCAGAGTACAATCACTTAATTTATGAAATGCAATCACTTAATTTCTTTAACAGATTTCACATTTCACTAATATGTACATTAGTTAATTTGTCTGCTAGAGCTGTAAGAATTGCTCATTTTTTAATCAAATGATGTATAAAATAAATAAAGGTATTTCTTCCAATAGCTTTTGTTCTCACAATGGCATATTGGCATGAACACTTTCATATAAGTGGAGCTGCTTTTTCCTTTATTCATTTTGAACTTAAATTATTTTAGATCTAGATGAAACAGCATACAAAGATTTTTCTAAATTAATGCAATATACATGTTTTATTTTTGAATTCATAAATCCATACTGCAATTGAATTAACTGTAATACTTACAACTTAATTTATCTGACAATATCCAAAAGTAATACTTTCAAAAGTTTATTCAATTAGATATGCTTTCATGATTTGAAGGAACTGACTCTTATAAAGTTACCTTATATTTTTAACTGGAGTTAAATACATTCACCTTTCAATTTATCACAACCTAAGCAATAATTGCTATAATCATAGATTTGGTAATGCTGGTTATGTATTTTTCTTTTACATATTATGGTGTTATTTAACTACAAAAATAAAAATAGTACTAATTTGGTTTGGGCCAATCTAAAATAATCTTATTTTCTACAGCATTGAAGGCATTTGCCTATATAAAAAATAATTTTAAAAACAGAAATTATTCTGAGAATTTTTAATTCACTGACCCTTATTTTGGACATCTCCAGGAAGAAAGGTACCTTATAAGTTGATACAAATTGATTGTGCAATAGAAACAACTCTACCTAGAGTCCTATTCTGCTCTGCCACATTCTTTACCTTTTTCTCATGAATAAGTAGATAGAAAAGAAATCTGTATCTTACATACCTGATAGAACATTTCTTGCCTTTGATATAAGCAATTGGAGGGGTTTCAAAAGTCAGTGGTCAGGATGATGAGAAAAGTCTAGCAGGAACTCAAAATGTTTTATGGATGAAATGAGACCACTTAAAAGAAATCAGAACATTTCTCAAAATTTGAATGGCTGAGACAAAAGAAAGCAGTTAAAGGTATTCTGGGTATTTAGAAGTGAATAAAAAGAGGTAAGAGTGGAAGAAAAGAAAGGAATTAACACTGAAGAATGATTCAAGTTAGTTGGAGGAAGAAGAGAGATAGCTTATCTATGATGTTGAAGAGAATATAATTAGATGAAATTTAGTTATTCTTTTATTTACTCATTCACCTACCTTCTGAATTGAAACAGAGTTTCTCTGCTTAGCCCTGGCTGGTCTTGAACTTTCAAACTTCCTGAGTGGTAGGATCATAGGCATATACACTATCAGATCTAGATGAAGTTTAGATAGATGTTCTCTGAGATACTTTTTCTAAATTAAACAACAATAAATAATAGTTATCATTATTTAATGCTCACTATGTTACTCATTTAACAGATTTTATCTTAAGCCTCATAACAACACAATAGTTTAAATATTACTATACCTATTTTATAAATAGAGAAATGGAGTCCAAAACATGATAGAGGTTGAAGCTGAATTCAAGTGAGAATGACTTAAAGCTTGTGTACTATCATATGTTTTGGGAAATACAACGTTTTGTTTCTGTCAAAAGCAGGTACCTTCAGCCAAACTGAAGCCATGTTGTTTTTCTAATAAAATAAAATTAAAAGATCATAAACTATAATTGTGTGAAAGGAAATTGAAAACCCATTATCTCAGCTGGTTTCCTTCAAGTTTCTGAAAAAGCCAAAAGAAAAATAATGCTTGTAGCGGTGATCTCTTTATATTTTGAGAGAGGAGAAAAGAATAGGAGAAACCAATAATTTCCAAGAAAAACTTATGCTTTTAATTTTGAAATCTTTGTATTCTTAAGAATGGAGAACAGACGAATCCAGAAACCATGCTGCTTATTTCCACAAATGATGTTGCAAAATCAGCAAAAGCTTGAGTTTCTTTTTGTTTGCCCAAATCTTTCTGAAAAAAATGTATAAAAGTGATAGTTTAAGGAAAGGAAAGGTCAATTTTATTTGCTAGTATTTCAGGGTGTCATACTCTGAAGAGATGTTAGGATATTTTCCAACACAAGTAATTTCAAATCATTTTAAACAGAGACTTTACATTGGTTTTCAGTAAAGAGAAACTTAAGTAGAGAGAAACCAGACATAGCAGGTAGTCTACAAACACCAAAAAGTTTTCAAAGAAACAGGCTTATCAGAAAAAAATAGATGTATGGAGAAAGAGGTAAGAGAATGAGAGAAGAACATAAATAAAAAAGAAAGGATATAAAGAGAGACAAAAGGAGGAAAGGAAGAATAGAAGAGGAGGGAAAGGGAGGGAGGAAAAAGGAAAGAAAGGAGGAAGGAAGGAAGGAAGGAAGGAAGGAAGGAAGGAAG